TTATGAGGACTGGATTCTGATGTTTGTTGCCATGTAATATGGGTATAGAGATGTTTGTTTCCGATATATGTTTGACCCCTTAATCAGTGGTATGCGAGAGACTACAGCTTTTGCACACTCCATCGTAGTTCAGTGGTGTTATAATTGGCACTGATGCTTTTGGACCATATTTCCAATAATTTGTATCCGGCACCAAGACCACATATACCTTGTGTGTGGTGCAGTTTTGCAACAAACATATGGTGCCCAACGTCGGTGACAACGCAGACTGCTCCTTCTACTCCGAATGACTCAGACAATACTCACGAGTCATGACCCTGTGTAATTGCTTTTCAAACAGTTGCTTACAAGTATACTTTTTGGTGCGCTGTCGGCTTCCGAAGGTGTTTTTTTCTTGTACAATAGTGTTTCTGTTATTTAAGGCACGTTTAGATTCAACTCATATGCAGTCTCCTCATTTCACGGGCTAAGCGAGCGGAAAATCATGCCTTGTGGCCCATAAAAAATTAAAAAGAAAAGACAGGAAAACTGCCTTCTTTTTACCCAGTGTGAGATTCGCAGAAACCAAGGAGCCGTGCTTCTCCGGCCTGGCCTCTGATATCGTGTGTGTTTCTGCTGTCTTTTCATATTGTGTTCTGTGCTAATGCTATTTCTAGAGTAGAGATGTGCTAAGAGAACATGTGGCTGCCCTTGACACACGTGTGCTGTTTAAAGTGACTTAAAGGGTCATTCACGCTCCAGCCGCCCTTTCTCACTTTACTGCGTGGCTATCGCTTCATCCACAGCTGAGGAAGTTGACCCTTGTACGGGGGTATCTCAAAAAATAAGTTTAGCATTTATGCAAGAGGGACACTTTTCTGTCGTCAGGCGCTGCCCTAGAACTAATCTCAACAGCACCGCCATTAGGATAAGTTCGAGATCGATATTTTATTCTTGACACAGAACTCTCTTTGCGCTATATAAAAAAAATCCCCACTTCTGCTTTGCTGGCATAAAGAACACGTGATCCAAACATGCGGCAGCGAATTGAAGTGACGGGTAGTCGGCCGTAAGTATCATAGACCCAACCACACACTACACATGCTGCTCGACAATGCCAACATCCACTACAAGGACGCGTTTATCAAGAACCTGATCGGTTTGTGCAGCAGCATCTAGTCGTCCCCTAACACATCTCGTTGTTTGACCAGCGCATCCGCGCTGCCGCTATCAGCATGTCCACTCTTCTATTATCTGCTTGTATATGAACAGAAGCAGCAGCTTCGAAAACTCGAACACTGTCTGTTCTCTGTTGTGCATGCATAAATTGAAATCAGCATGTAATAAAAAAAAAAACTCGGGAAACAAGCAGAATGTCTCGCACTTGTTTTCATTTTTGCAGGAGTGGCCTAACAAATCTGAACGTTTAATGCATATCCGCGCAAGGCGAAGCGTTTGATTACACTCATCAATGTGACTTGCTCAGATATGCGTTGTCATTGTGTGTCGCTGTCGCTAAATGTTGCTCCTGCCCGCAGAGAAGAGAACGCTCTCCTGCGCTCGAAGGCTTGATGATTGATTGATTGATATGTGGGGTTTAACGTCCCAAAACCACTTCATGATTATGAGAGACGCCGTAGTGGAGGGCTCCGGAAATTTAGACCACCTGGGGTTCTTTAACGTGCACCCAAATCTGAGCACACGGGCCTACAACATTTCCGCCTCCATCGGAAATGCAGCCGCCGCAGCCGGGATTCGAACCCGCGCCATGCGGGTCAGCAGCCGAGTGCATTAGCCACTAGACCACCGCGGCGGGGCAATGCGCTCGAAGGCTGTGTGAATTCTTTCAACTATGTGTTGAGGTTATAGGTTGTAATAGAAAATGCTGTGTGATTTCGACTGCGGCGATTGCATTGTTCGTTGATTACAGGCACATTTTCTAAAGATGCGTATGTTGACTCATGGCCAATGTAATTGGCAAAGGAAAAACTTTAATCACAAAAAATTCTAACGAGTTCTTGAGTAACTGAGTAAAACCACTTTATTGGCGAAACCAGCCGCTTGTGGCCTGGACCATCACCGTGCGAGGTGTGGCGATGCGTTGTTTTGTCACTATGAAGAATACCATGTCAGTATGTTTCGTCAATATGGGGAATACACAGCATACAATTCAGCAAAGCTACCTTACTCTATATACAGTTCATAAAATTGAGTGCGAGAGTTTCCCAGTGACATTATAACTTAAAAAATAAATTTGGCTCTGTTGACGGAGAACGTGACATATTTTCTGTTCACACCTAAAACAATTCGTGAAATAACACAGGTGTATAGTATGGCCATAGTTAAAAAGAAAACAGTTCATAACATGGCCGTAAATCTTGAAGCACATCACTCATTTTGCTCGCTTGTTCTCCACGCATCACAAAACTGTCTGCGGAAACCAATGACGTCTGTTATGCTATTTTTATCAAATAATAAAGCAAAGGGTTGATTCCTGCTGTACGTTGGCCACAGCTTCTCCGTGGTTGTCTGGGGCACCCTGCGCATGAAAACAAAAACAAAAAGAAACACAAATATATGACATTTGTAGCTCTGCGTCTTTGATTAGCCAACACTGTTTCGCCAGTGCGAAACAGTGTGTCATGTTTTTTTAACTTATTCACGAAACTTCCGTAATGTCTATGTTAAAATGTGCCCTGTGTATACACAAAATGATTTTCAATGCGATTACTTTCCTCGTCATTATTACGGCGTTTGAAGATTGCTTGTAATTTGTTGTAATGTAAGTCCGTTCGTGTAACATTGTCAAACACGCGAAATTTCTTAAATTTCATGTGATCACATTGCACAGTATTGCCAGTTTTCTGATGTCTCACGTATTCCTCACTAAATTTGTACCACATTCTTGCATACGATAAAGTTAAATAAACTTCGCAGAAAACAGCCCATTTGCTGTGTGCATTAGATGTACTATTCAAATGAAAGCAGCCTTCCTCATTGAAAACTGTACGTAGAGAGCAAAGCAAAATAAAATGTGGAAACAGGCAAGCTTGGCTGACGAAATCAACCTTTGGTAGGGGCAGCAAGCCTGGCTGCAGGAAATTAAAATATATATCAATAAAGTGCGTGACATTACGCTTATCATTACTGCTATCCCACAGGGCAGACACTACTTGCCACTAGTACTGTTTGTTATAATCAGTGTCAATCTCATCTAACACTATGTCCCGTTCCGCCTATCAGTCTCCGACTATTTTTTTTCTCTCGTCATTGAAGCCACAATTCCTTGGATATGCTGCTGTCTACACATTTAGCGCCTCAGGTTGTATAGCGTGCAGCACTGGCAATTGAGTGACTAAATTTGACAAGCATAATTCGGACACCTCAACTACAGACCAACGACTGCTTTCACCTGCTTAAAATGCTACTGCCTGAGCAGTCGACTTCTTCTGCAAGTTTTCCGGGTGAATAGTTAAAATTCTGCCACAAATTTCCAAACCAACTTTCAAATTTAGCTATAACAGGCCTCCGGATCCTCCTGTCGTGAACATTTTCTAAGGTAAGTCTTGGTATTCTAGCAAGCCACTTGAAGAATCACTTTATATAATGCTAATCTTTGTGCTAATAATCACATTCTTGCTTCATTTTTTGGTACTTGTTAAGCCAGAATATCTTTTTTTGTTCTTCCTTTCCGCGTATACAACTCAATATATTTAAGAGCTTGCTCCGAAATCTCGTGCCTCGTCCGGCGGCCATCAAAGTGTACAGCAGTGTTGCCAGTGCTCTCAGGTAACCACTCACGCTCGCCAATCCAGTCGCCTCCCCGGTGATACCAACAATGCTCACTAGATGGCATGCCGCCACCCAAGGCGTTGATTTTCAATGGCTCGTGCGCTAGACTCCTCACGATTAAATCCACTTCGTGCTCCTCGCTTCGTTGGCATGGCAGCACGTGAAAAGTTCCTACGACGAGTGTTACGCACGGGTACCGATATCCTCCCGAACCCCCTTACCTGCCTTCTCTCAACGCCGTTAAAGAACATCTGATAGCTCCACGCCTGCCATTTATCAGCGTTAGGAATTCGACTCATGGCAGCAGCCAGTATTGCATGAAGGGGCAGGTGAGTAACGTGCCGATAAACGTGGCCAACATTGTGCAGTGGCGGCCGCGGAACGTGCCCGACAACGGTGCCTTCGACGTACACATTCTGTGCCGGCTCGTCAACAAGCCTTCCCACAGAAGTGGTCTCACCGAGAAATGCCCCGTGTAACTCCGCGCAAGCAACTCTAACATCATTTACTTTGTGAATATGGCGGTGATATGGGGGCGATTTTTAATTGTTTGATTTAACTCATATACCTATCAGCCGTCCCTTCTGCTTTGAAATACACTCTAATTAGATGGACGTTATTCTGACACTTTCCTTCCTTCCTTGAATTATAAGAGCACCCAGTTCCTCCCAAATTTTCTTTCCAGAACCTTACAAACAAGCCGCTATAGTTTAGGGACATTTTAGACGATACTACTTAACATTCTGTACACAACATAGGATTTCAATATGCCGGTAAAATATTAACAAGACGGTAATGGGTTCGTGGCACAAGGTGACAGGGGGTCTCGGGCTGGGAGAGACAACCGCTATATTGATTCGCTCCACGTACGCGCCATAGACATGTTCCTGTCCGCCACTGTTTCCGCCAATGCAGAAAAAGAGGGCTGGTGACCACTGTGGAGTTGTGGGTTGGTTTTCGGTGAAGGTGCATGCAAGCGTACCCGGTACGTTCACCAATAACGTTACACTAAAACGTGTGTTCATCGATACTTACACGCAAACACGCTAGTTGAAAAATTGACGGACGAGAACCTTTGTCCTAATACTTCGCAGTTTTCTCTCCACCAGACCATTACCTTCTACTACGTTATGCTACCTTGTTATGCTACCTTGTCTTGTTATGTCGATGATAAGGTGGAAACAAGCATAGATCAACACAGGATAATTTACGGTGAACGTGAGTATCTCTCACCCTGTAGATGCAAACGTTGAGAGCATTTCCATCATCGTCTCGGACATGGCGGCGTCCTGGGCGTCATACTTTTCCGGGTGAACGAGGGGAGCCCCATAGAGGTAGCTGACGTCCTCTCCGTGGGGAGCACCCATCCACGCTGGGAGGGGACTCTTCACCGACCGGTACGAAAAGACGAGGGAGTAAACAGGTTGACCGTGTCCGGAATGACCCTCGGCTGTGTAGTGCATGGGGCAGACGAACGTCCTGTCTGATATGAAATCGACGTAGGCGCGCCTCAAAGCAATCTTGTCTCGAGCATTGGCTGTGTACGCTTCGAGGTTGTATGTGGAGTTGCCCTTCAACCAGGTGAACGTGATCTCGCGCAGGGATTTGTTCAAAAAGTCTTCGTCCATCACTTCGATCATGTCCCCCCAGAGTTCCTCACGCGGAGGGTACAGCAGTGCCACCGCTCCTTCGTCCGTGGTCACTCCGACAATTAGGTCGGCCTGGTTAAACGAGCCTTCTTTGACTGCCAGAGCTGGTTCCTTCGGCATGAATTGGTTCGGGTATGTAGGAAGAAATGTGAATATCTTCGTGTTGAAGCTTTCGGCTGCCGCCTGCAAAAGCTCGGCTGTAGTTTTCGTTCGTAGGCATGCCACCACTGATTCAGGGTTGGAGGTCAAGGTGGCGGTATCATCGGCGCAGCCAACGACCCGAGCAACAATGTTGCCTTTGCTTATGCTGTCACTCACATGCTCTACGAAGTCTGGACTGTTAAGTGTTCCGCTCATGAGGCAAGCCCTTTTGAAGAGGCCTCTGCTCATGGGTGAAAGCACGTGAGAATGGGCGCTCATGCCTCCAGCGCTGATTCCGAAGACAGTCACTTGGAAAGGGTCTCCCCCGAAGTGGTGAATGTGTTCCTGTACCCACCTGAGTGCTATGTTCTGGTCCATCAGGCCTACATTTCCGGGCGCCTCTGTCGAGTTTGCGTCAAGGAACCCCAGAATGTCAAGCCTGTAGTTAGGGGCGACGACGACTAATCCAGTCTTGGCGGCCAAGGCGGCGCCGCTGAAAACTTCGGTGTTCGCAGAACCATACGAAAAGCCTCCACCGTGGAATGAGACGAGTACGGGAACGGACAGCTGGCTGCGTTCTGTGGGGGTCCATATGTTCAGGTGTAGGCAGTCTTCTGTCAATTCAACACCGTTTACCAGGATCTCATTGAAGAGCGTCTGCGATCATATATGAAGAAATAAGGACAAGCTGTGGATTGTTTTATTCATCAAGGTGAATAAAGAGCGTCACCTACATAAGCTTAGATGGCTGCGCTGTAATTTACTTTGCTCAGATGGCCGGAAATAAGTGTTTTTTCGCTGTCCAAGCATCACTACTCCAGTGCCCGTCATGAATAATATTGCTAAATAAATTCAATATGCCTCAGTTGACGTTGCAAGGACTGGGCTGATGATGCTAGAGTGACTTATCGCGTTTTTTTTCGCGCCATAAGCTCGTTAGCAATGATGTCATCAATTCATACGTATTTTACATTAAGTAATCATTGTACATGGCTGCACTCATGACACTCTCCAGCGATAATGTGTCACAGAGTGTTGTCCCTATTGAAAATTTCAAGCCAGCATGGCACGAAATGATAAACTGTCCCCGCGGTCTTCCGCGGGAGAGGTTTTCCACTCACGACTAATGATTCTGACACCGACGCTGACACCAGCATTTCTGCTAAACAGGTTTTTTTACCGCTACTGCGCGAAAAACTAGTATAAAACTCTAATAGTCGGAAAATAACGGTTAAACGGTTTGGTGAAAAAAAAACATTACAGCAAACTCCTAAAGGGGCCATGAGATGGCCACCCAGCAAACTGGAGTTTTGAGTGAGCAATATAAGCAGAGGACCTGTTGTGCTTTTACAGGCGCGAAAAATTGGCCGTAAAAATATTTTATTGCGAAATGAGCTTTGCTAGTCAATGGCTATAAACGCCGTCCACCGCCGACGGTTGCCATTTCACCATGGCGTGTGTGACCATGCTTCATAGATTTAAGCTGTCGTGTTCTACCCAAAATGCAGTCTCTACTAACCGTTTATCTTCACTGCCAAAATTATTTAGCGATTTATTTATTTATAAAAGAAACGCAAGGCAGACATTTAAACACACATTTGGAGGTCCCGAAAGAAAACTTTCGGGGGAACTTCCTAACGAAAACATGAACGGGTGTTACAATATTATTGAGAACCATTGAGTTATGCATTTTATACAATATCAGGTTCGTCAATAGCAAAGTGGAAGCTTAATAATAAAAATATCTACACGATAATTTCAATTATAAATGAAAAGGTCAGAAAGGTAAAAAAGTACAATTATAACTGCCATAAATTGGGACAAAGATAAATGGCTCGTGCAACTAGCAACGCAAAGACGTATCTAACATAGGCAAAATTGAAACACTAAAAAGTTTGCAACAGTACAATGGCAATAGTTCTGTTGGGGAAAAAAGACCGTATATTTCAGCGCGTGCGACGAAGTGTTAATTAAATGTTCCTTAGTTTTCCGTTTTGAATGATAAGAATCAAGATGACTTGACATGCTAATGAAAAATTGACGGTTTATTAAACCTAACGTTTGAAAGATAAGAATGAAGATGACTTGATAACCTGATCATAACTTGATAGTTAATTGAACCTAACGTTTGAATGATAAGCTGAAGACGACTTGATAACTGAATAATAACTTCGTTTGGATCATAAGAATAAAGACGACTTTGTAAGCTAATGGAAAATTGATTGTTTAATAAACCCATCGTCTGAATGATAAGATTGATGATGTCGTAATAACCTAATGATAACTTGATGGTTTATGAATCTAACACTTTACTTAAACCTCTCCACTGCAAGAAAGAGAAAATAAACTGGTACGTACCTGGGCACAGCCAATCTTCCTGTTCGTGGCGTCTATCACGCCATCCCAACTCTGCAGAGCCTCGGGTGGGCGAAAGCGTCGCTCTCCCAGCGGCGGCTGAGCATACGGAACTCCACTATACACGTCCAATGAACGGCCCAGCACGTCGACACGTTTCCCGCGGACAACGCCCAGGCCAGTGGTGGCCTCCACGTCGAAGGCAGCGGCGCATGAGGCGATGGCCAACAGGAACACGAGAGCGGCCATTGCCGTCATGATCACGGCGCCAATCGTCGCCTCCGCTGTAAAACAATTTTCAATGCATGGCGTTCATGTTCATGGTCGATCTTCTGGGTACAAAGATATTCATTATCGCAAGAATGAACGTTTTATGGACCGGATTCATCTGGAAATATTATTAGGGGCTCTTAAAATCGCGTTCACAGCATTTCTACATATATTGTAGATCATTATGATGCCAAGTGATAAAGAAAATGTTTGTTTGCTGTTTTTCTGCATATATATATATATATATATATATATATATATATATATATATATATATATATATATATATATATTTCAGAGAGATTATCTTGCATCATTTGCGATAATGAGTCTCACGTGCACCACTTTTTCGAAGCTGGGAAGAAAACACAAGTAAAATAAACACGTGACTACCGAATTTAAGCTCCATGATTATCGTACTCCTAATCCTAATATAAAGAATTAAAACAAGCCAGATTTCTTGTACCAGTTGGTCAATAAAGAGGTTTCTTGGTCCATGCTGGCTATACCTTGTACCATTGCGCGCGCCCAACGGACGGTCGCCAACCGGCTGACAATGACACTAAGCAGTAAATTATTGGCCTTGATCTGTCAAGAACGAAAAGTTCCACATAGGGTGGTAGTGCTATTATCGGGGAATGTCAAATTACTGGAGGCCAGTGTACTTAAACTGAACTGCGTAATTACGAACCCCAAAATACAAGCAGGAGTTCACTACGGCATCTTTCAAAATCATACTGTGGTATTAGAAGGTAAATGCCCCTAAAAGTTAAAAAAAGTAATAAAAAGATGTCAGGTATGCCTTTTGTTTTCAAGAACGTCATTTCTGTTTATCTTTACAATTGAATAGACTGCCTTTTGCAGTGCCCAGAACACTGCAGAATCAGTGTTTGCTTTAATCTCACTAATAGTGGCAACTATGTTATTGGTAGCTCTCTACGCCTTTTCATGATGATGAAATCTGCCACGGTGTTCTATTGTGGTTGTGGGGCTCGACTGCTGACCTGATGGTTACGGGTTTAAACCCCCATCGAGGTGGCCACATTTTTAAACGTAGATGATTGATGCAGAGTACTTAGACTTTGGCCGTAGTACAGAAATCCGGGTTGGCGAGAATTCGTGAGCTCTGGACTACGGCGTCTGGCGTAATCCTATCCAGGTTTTGTGACGTTAGACTCTATCAATTATTATTCCAATTAGTGTCATGATGATCACCCTCCTAAGTCCACATTGCTGCAGTGACCCGCAGGCCAACGGTATTTCTACCACCAAGCAATGCTGCGACCACGAACATCTCATGTCCAATGATGAAGACCAGTTTTCCTGGTGGCGTGACTTAGTTTCTACAAAATAGCTGTGCTTTCATGTATTCTTCGATACCACGACTCTTCCTTTCTGCCAGGACGATGCATTTGCATGCGAACGCACGTGCTAGAAGTGGGACAAAAACAAGGTTATGTTGCAACGCGGTTACTATACTGTTTCGTTTATTTTCTATTGTGCTTATTCAGTTTGGTGTGAGCACGCTTTGTAATGACGTTCGTCTTCACCAGTGCTACTGCGAGATTGCACCTTTCTTCTTTTAGTTAATGAGGCAAGGCTGCAGTCGGACGTGAGCTGTCTGCGCGCCAGAACATTTGCAGCCGGGCTAGTTCAGGATATCAAGCTAGTAGCTTTTGGGCTGGTACAGTCAAGACACAGTCAAAACACAATCATGAAAGATAACAGAGAGCCGTGACAGGACACATGCCAGAACTTTCTTCTTTGTCTTCTTCGCGTCTTGTTACGTTCATGTTTCACCTACAAAATATGCGTGTGGCCCACTTTCACGTGAAGTCAAGCACGACACGACGACACAAATCTAATCCATGGGTAACGCCCAAGTTGGCGCATGACCGCACTCCGTGTGGAGCTCTATGTAAAAAGTGGAAGTATATTACCGGACCGTAGCTTTGTGTCTTTTTGCGTGAATTATTATCGTAATAAATTTGTTTAAAGCTACAGGTCTTGCCAAGGTGATGTGCAAGATCTGTTCTTACAATATTTGCATTGTTGTGGATGCTTATTTTTTAAACTCAAAATACCCTTCAGGTCCCTTGTAGTGTACTGAATAAGAATAATAATAGAAAGAAAAATGTTGTCTGAATAGAATAAAAAGTTAATGAAACAAATGTTACAATTAGTACAGTAAGACATCATAGTACACTACATAAAGCAACCTAATACAAACATCACTAACAGGTTCGCCTTTAGAGATAGATATAGAGAAATCTGGAAGACTGTTACAGTGCGCAACAGGTCGAAGCAGGGATATTTATATAAATGCCGACATTTAACCACGTATGTATATGAAAATTCGCGAGTTGTGAATGCCTGAAGGCATGCGCTGATTGAGGGTAAATAAAAATAATCAGGTGAATATTTATGAATGATTAAACTGAAATATCTTCATCTGTTTGAGCTAGACCATTAAGGTCATACTTGCGTAAGGATAATCTGTGTGCTCTATTCTGAACATCTCCCACAGATAATGCAGTCATCATTTTCTGACGTGTGGTTGAAGCCAATTTCCGTAGGCGGGAAGGTGCAATATGCAAGATTCTACGCAGATATCGGAGAGACATAGCGGCACAGGAAGAGACAGTTGTTTCATGCACAGCTCAGGAAAGATCTGCACATCACGCAGATGCCGAGATAAATAACAGATTGTTGTTGTAATGATCAATCAGCGAAGCACTTGGTGCTTGAATATCAAAGCATTTAGGGAGCTTCGAAACGTGTGCACTTCCTCAATTTTGAATTGTCAAAAGAAAGTGGGCATAGCCCGCATTGCTCGACGTGTCTACTTCAATTTCATTCTGCTGTGTCTGCAGTTTGATTGGCCCAAATTGAAAATGGCTCGTAAACAAATATTAAAGTGGCCAACAGAGAGCTTCTAATAATCGTTATTTCAAAGACGGCATAGGAGGAAAGCTCAACATGTTTTAAAGTGCTGCATTAAAGGGTGATGCTAGGTATATTTCATAAAAGTGGACCATATATCCTGCAAGTGGTTACATTATCACAGCAAACTTCTTCTGCGGGAACACAGTTAATCTCCGCGCTGATAATGAGCCTTAGCTAGCTGAGCGTTTTGTAAAAATTGGCAGTTTTTCTTCTAGTTGCAAGGCAATTGAGTTTAGGTATTTTCAATTTTTTTTACATAGCGCTTTAAAACGACATATTTATTATTCAATTTCGCACTGTGGATGTTGGCCACGCGACTAGGCGAACACGTGCCAGATCTGATAAAATCTCATACGGTAAATACCCGACTTTTATAACAGAGTATACATAAGGGTAGATCCTTTGCACCAGTGTGGTCTAAAAAGTTATTTAGCAATGCCTACATGAACGCATGGCACCCTAATTCTCCCGGTACTACTGCGTACGCTGTATACCTTCCAACTATATATTGTGACTTGGCTGAGTGGCCATAAAGAGTGCATAAAAAAGCGCATGCAGCTAATAGGAGCAGGTACTGCGCATTCATTTCCATGGTCTATACTGCCATTTGATGACTTAAGGTTGAAGGCGTGTCGTTATCAAAGCCCTTGCGCCCAACGAGAACAATTGCACAATGTTAAAATCCATGTGAAATACCTTCAAATTTTGTTGTAGAGTTGTGGTCTTCCTTGAATAGTCGTGTGCAAGATGTGCAGCTCGTACCGGAAGCGTTGTCAAAAGTGCGTTTAGCGTCAGACAAATATGACCACCTGCGCCGAAGGCACACTTTCGGCCGGTGCTCGAATATGTAGCTTCTTAAGTAGTTTTCGACAATGGCCAACCCATAGCGTGTAGAGAGCAGGAGGCATACTAGAAGTGTTTAGTCTAGGCTGCTCATGTCGATAAGAATCCAGTGATACCGAGCACATCACGAGCACTTCACTCCGAGTGCTGGAAGCTTGGCGACACCTCTTATATTCCCCCCTGTTCTATAAACAATCGCATTATGCTCCATGATAAAGCGTAGGTTTATTCAGGCAACGTGGTGACCTTGCTACACAAACACACACGTAGGCGTGGGAGTGTAAACATTGGAAGCAACATTGCAAGTAAATGTAGAGCGTAAGCATAGTACCTGTGTAAACATTGAACGAGAATATTAAGGCGCCTCTAAAGAGTGAAAACTAGCTCTTGTATATGCGCAACAGTTAAGAGAGCTGTACCAGCTCGCCCTTAGGTCCTGTATATAAACCACGCCACGTGATTTATTAAACTTAATAAATCGAAAGTCCGATTTGTGTTCGTGTTGTGCACTACAAGAAAGAAGTGAATGCTGCTTACTGAGAACGCCTGTGAATACCTGGTGGTATTGGAAAGTTATGGAGAATAGTCATTTCAGAGCCTACGGCCTTGCTGAGACATTGATAGACACAAACAAAAGCGTGACATTGCATGCGTTCGTCTAAGTTCTAAGTGTGGCAATTTGATTTATTCCGGTATCTCGCACGTAAAAAACTGCAAGTGGCATCTTATTGTAAATGTAGAACATGAGATAAAGATGCACGCAATCCAAAAGAAAGGCTTGAAGGACGCGGCTACAATCTTCTGTGGAAAAAATATGGCGGCAAGCGTCCATGATTTCTGTTGGCAGTGATAAAGTCACTACAGCTACATACTACAGCTAAGGAGCGTCTATTTGCTATGCTCGTAAATGTCTTTGTATAACTTATTTACATTTTGAGTAAATGTAATCAGTGGTGTGTGTTTGTTAGCACCTTGTAAAAAAAAGAACACCTGATATTACAGTGTTAATTTACGGGTCAACCTCATCTGTCTTAGATATAAAACGATCGTCATCATGCAGTGGCGTGAACCATTTTCGTCCTATTTACGATGCCTTCCTCTTGTTTCTTTTGTGCTTTGCTATCAGAAGACTGGTGCCGATTTAATGAGCGATTGATGCAATATCTTCGTGGTTAAGAGAACACATACAAAAAGAGCAAAAGAAAGA